CCCCCCTCTTTTTTCGTCCTTTCCCTGTCAGACACTGGATATTAAATTTATTAGTAACTGTTACGTGCTTGAAATGGGCGTTAAACCCGCACCGTACTACATTATCATCAAACAGGTTTCCTAGAGACTGGAGACCACGCCTTCCCCGGTAACTACGGACTACTGGATCAGGTACAAGCCTTGAGATGGGTGCAGGAGAATATCCACTACTTCGGGGGAGACCCCACCCGGGTGACTATAGACGGACACAGTGCGGGGGGTTGTAGCGTGGGGCTCCTCATGCTCATGCCTATAGCTAGAGGTAAGTTGCTGTTGTTGTTGTTGTGTATGTGTGTGGTAGCCTATCCGTTCGAAATGTTTGGAGCCCCGAAGAGCGTGCTCTTCACCAGGGCCACCGCCTCCCTTGGGTAGCGGGTGAGGAAGTCCAACCTCCCTGAATCCTCCTCGAAGAGATGCCATCGCCGGGTGTTGTTGTTGTTGTTGTTGTTGCTGTTGTTGTTGTTGCTGTTGTTGTTGTTGCTGTTGTTGTTGTTGTTGTTGTTGTTGTTGTTATTGTGGTGGGGATGGTGGTGGTGCTGGTGCTGCTGCTGATGATTATACTGCTGCTGCTGATGATGCTGGTGGTGGTATTGGAGGTTGTTTTTATTGTTGTTTTTGTTGATGCTGTTGTTGTTGTCCTTTTGTTGTTAATTTTGTTGCTGGGGTGGAGAAGGATGAGAATCCACTTCATTGATTCGTATGCTTATTCCCAAGAGTAGGAAAGGCGATACTGCTGCTTTTGTTGTTTATGTTGTAGTTGTCTTTGAAGAATAAGTTACTTTTCTCTTCGATCTTTCTGTTGACCATGATGTCATAGTAGATGGCATTTTATGTTTGTGTTTCCTTTCTTTGCTCAAATTAAAATATGTTTTTGGACATGAAACGTTCCAGAAGAAAGAGTAGATGGCGTTAAAGATGGAGGGAGAAGTGAAACAAAAAAACCCAACTTCTTAATATCAAAGGAATTGAAAGGGTCTGAATAATTTACTTATAAAAGTGAAAACTAGTACATCGCTCTTCTTGTTGGGGAGAAAAGAAAACGAAAAAAAAAAAAGATAAACCTTTATGACATGTCTCTGGTTGATGAGAGGGAGAAAGGGGTTTACACGGAAAAAGACTGCACTGCGCCTCCCTTCTTGTTTGTGAGACCGGCGTCGGTGGTGTAGCGGATGCCATCGCACTCAGCTCATACGACATTAGTTCAATTCATGTGTGGAGAATCTTATTGATTTTTATTTATAAAAATAAAGTAGTACGCCAATATGTCTGTCTCCTCAGACTTTAAGTCCCTTTCAGCCTGGGTTAGTCCTGACAAGCAGACCGTAGCAGTCCGCCTCCTAAATGATTTTACATGTTTAACATGTAACGTTGATGGGCGCATAATACAGCTACTAAAAAGTAAAGTTGTTCCCGCATCCGATCCGGACATTGGGGATTGCCTTGTCAGTGAGACAAACTTCCAGGGCCTTAGGCATATTGTGGTAGGTTGGCCAGTTCCTTTTCACGCCGCCTTTACTTCCCCAACTCGAAGTCAGCTACACATTACTGCTGGGTGGGCAGGAGGGGGCGAAAAAATGCATCTAATATTACACTACCTTTATGTTGTTTGTTAGACAGTGTGGGTGGGTGGTTGGTGGGTGCTCTTGTGTGGTTTACTTCTTCTTTCCTATCAAACATCTATTGTCTTTATCTCTCCTCTTTCTTTTCTTTGTATGTTACTTTCTCGTTACACCTCCAATCTTTGGCGGGTGCTCTGGTGTAGTTTGCTTCTTCTTTCCTATCAAACATCTATCGTCCTTTTCTCCCCTTCTTCTATTTTATGTTTGTTACTCTCTTGTAACAGCTCTAATCTTCTGGCGCTCATATAACCTTATGCAGTTGCGAGTGCCGTATAAACTCTACTAAAACTAAAACTAAAAAGACAGTGTGGTGTTCTTTTTTCCAGGTCTGTTCACACGTGTGATCCAGCAGAGTGGCTCTCCTTTCGCCGACTGGGCAGTGACGAGACAACCAAGCACCCCCAACTTCTACTTCAAACTCTTCACCGCGGCCTTGAACTGTTACGGCAATGGCACGGCGGAGGTCAAGGAATGTCTAAAGAAAGTCCCGTCTGACGTCATACACAGGGCCATACTGAAGCAGGTAGAGAGCTCTTTGTGTCGTTGTGTTTGCTAGTTCCATTTTTTACTCGACTTTATGCCTGTGAAATTTTAAGGTCTTACTAGTACTAGACAAAAGGTTAGTCATTTTGAAGTTGGAACTACACTTTTACCCTCTATGTCACTGAGGAAATGAAAAAAAAAAACATTCCTGGAAGATGGAGGAGAAGACTGAGACATAATAGAATAAATACTGTAACTACAACTACAAGATGGTTTACTCTCCTATGAATCCCAGACTTGAGGAGTTTAATCATTTCATAGGAAATAATTTTCGAGTGTAGATTACATCTAATACTGTGAGCTGATATCCTACGTCCAACGGTATCTATGGTTTCAATTTTCTCTGGATTTTTTTTTCCTTGGTTTTTTTTTTGGGGGGGGGGAGAGGCTGGTGTTATTGT